CTTTCAGATACTTCGTGGCTTTTTGTATATGCATACCCTTGATGGCCTGGGCAGTTTCACGTGTGTTCTTAAAGTGAACGCGAAGATTGGAACCTCTTGTTTTGCATGACTTTGTGGGGTTCTCTGGATCAAGTGAATAGCGAACCATTTTCACAGATTACCTCAGGCCGCTTGGGGAAAGAGGAAGAATGGTGACTTCTGGGAGAACTCCAAAGCCACAGTTCTTAAGCAGGGATAAGAAATACTTTGGACATCTATGTAATATAAAATATTTTTTTAATATTTTGCAAAAATTTTTCTTTCATTTACTTATGCAGTTAGATTAGAATGCCGAAATTTCCATTTTGTTTTATTTTATAAATGAAAGTCATCTGACTTAATGAGAAAATGGTGTATAATGTATTATTGGAGAATGTTCTTTTGAATAGAAGACATTGGTTTTAAACTTTTTGCAGGGTTTGACTTGGGAAGGTAGGAAGTCACATGAGGGAAACGTAGGGCTAATGTCTAAAGAAAATAAAGGTTAGTTTGCACTTATTTTTTTAAATGTTCGTTTGGCTTTCCTATGTGCGTATAACAGGACATTTATCTCTTCTGCTATAATTGTACATGATTACATAGAATTTTAATAGAGTTGTAAATATTGGCAGGCTTTCATTTGGGGTGATTTTCATTTATTTTTATATTTGATACTTTCTGACTGCCTGGAGGTAGTAAATGTTGATCTACCACCGTTAGTTTTGAGTGAAGAATTCTGATACTTTGGAGAAGTAAATGCATTTCAAACATACATTACTGTGTGAAACTACCATTTTATTAGTTACACTTAGGTATGAAAATGCAAAAACAAATCTGTAGTTCTTCTGTCACATCATTTTTATGCCTCACAAACTCATAGCCAAATAGCCCCAAATTCATATGTTAAAAAAAAAAAGCTTCCATAAGGTCAATAACACAGTATCTTGAAAAATTTCAGTTTAAAAAAAGTTTTCAGTAATATGGGATCATTCAGAAGCAGATACCGTGTGGAAAATATATTATTGTTAAGTAGATTTACTGTTTAATGGGAAGAGATTTGTTGTTGCATGTTATATGGCATTTTTCATGTAACATCTTTTACATATCCCTGTCAACAAGTAGGAGGTGTTAACTACAATTTATTCAACAAATATTTGTTGAGCCTGTGTGTCAGGCACTATTCCAAGGTCTGTTAACAGGCTTATTTTCAGACTAGGCGCGGTGGCTCAAGCTTGTAATCCCAGCACTTTGGGAGGCCGAGGCGGGTGGATCACGAGGTTGAGAGATCGAGACCATCCTGGTCAACATGGTGAAACCCCGTCTCTACTAAAAATACAAAAAATTAGCTGGGCATGGTAGCATGTGCCTGTAATCCCAGCTGCTCAGGAGGCTGAGGCAGGAGAATTGCCTGAACCCAGGAGGCGCAGGTTGCGGTAAGTCAAGATCGCGCCATTGCACTTGAGCCTGGGTAACAAGAGCGAAACTCTGTCTCAAAAAAAAAAAAAACAGGCTTATTTTCTAGAGGCAGAATATATATATATATAATTATAGGACTTGTTATACCTCAGGACAGGATGAATTATGGAAAAAATAGTAAACTTGGTCTTTTGGCATGAAATGATTTTTGATACAATAATTTCCAAATTCTGTGACTTCCATAATTGTAGAGTGGGTCTGTAGTTGAATTGAACTCGATTGTTCCTGAAGTAGAAGTGAGTATCATTGCCATGATTTTATTTCAGTTTTGTTTTCCTCAAAATAGAATTTGCTAAACTTTTAGAAGGAAAAAATGTTTCCTCTGCAGACCTAACCAAGCATATTAAACTATTACCTACTTGCTCTTAGGTTCCAAAATATTCAGATCATCCTAATGATTATCTCCCTATACTGGCTTGACTCTGATATATGATTATTAACATTTGTGTAACACTGTACACAGACTGATTTTACGTGACATAAAAGGTTTCACAAAGACTTTAAAATTGTGTTCATTTTACTTGTACTAGTGTGTTTTCAATTTAAAAAAATAGCCCCTGTGATTGTATATAAAATATAGTATCCTGTCATGATAAGGGTGTTAGATTTAGTTTCTTCTTTTATAAATGAAAATAGCTACTTCCCATAATTGTTATGAAAGCTAAATAAGAAAATGTAGATAATAATTTATAAAGTTAAATTCAAAGATTTAATAATTTATGAAATTGACTTCAAATAGGAAGAGTATTACTACAATCCAGTTGCCTCGAAACCTCAGTAGGCAGCTTTTTATTGTGACAGGAAACCTCTATTGAGGTTTGAGGTGATGAGGGTGAAAAATTTAATTTTAGAGAAGAAGCTTGTGGTGTGGCATTGATAACTTTAGGGATGTGAATAGGATTATGGGGGGGAAAAAAACAACAAAAAAACCTTGCCTCCAGAGAGATGAAAAGTACCACATGGGCTCTAAGTCAGTGTCAAAATATTTTTTTTGGAGCTAGCCTGACTCTGGAGAGGTCAGTAAAATAAACAGTTGCAACAGAGAGGCTAGATTAGCAAGTATGGGTTTCTAAATGATAAACGGCTTTTAGGCTAGAATCAGGGCTGAATTAGCCCTCCCACCACTTATTTGTTTCGAGGGTGTTCGAAGGGCCTAGAACTGAGTTCACATGGTGCATGATTGTGGTCTGGGGAGTAGGGAAGTATATTAGATTCTAATATGGGGGTAGGCGTGAAGGGAAGTATATTAGATTCTAAGAAAATATATTTTGGTGGTTATCCTTTTTTAAAATAAGTAATAATGAGTATTTAGAACAAGAACAGTTTTGTAAGAAGGAAAATGCCTAAAATCTGAACTGTATTCTTCTATGTTTTTATGACATTATGTAAATCAAAGGTGTTTTCCTTTTAAGTGAAAGAAAAGGTCAGGAGTATGAAATCCTAAGCCCTTTTTCTCCCCCTTAAAACCCTACAGGTTCACTGTAGAAAAAAATTGCAAGTGGGGAAGAAAAATGCTTTCAGAGAGAAAAGTTAGTTCTGAATTTGTGTACTTCAGTAACAGTAGTTGAAGTTTTTATTAGATGCAAGAAGATGTCTCTAAAGTAAAATCCTTTGTGTTAACATTCGATTTTGTATTGTATTATAGTAACTTTATTCAAACTTCTTTTTTGTTTAGCATTTAACGGAAGAAAAACCTTATGGCCTTATCAATGAAGCTACTAGGTATTCATATTTAAAGTATATATTGATTGCTGGCTAATTGGAAAGAGAAAAATCACTAAGATGAAAACCAAAAGCAAATTAAGAAATTTTAAAACATAGTCAAGGAAAATTAATTTTCTTTCTTCTCATAGTTGAATTATTGCTATCTATTTGTTATGATCTGTTAGCTTTTCCTTAAAGTCATTTTTGTTGTAGCATAAAGTAAATGCTGAACACAGAAGTTCTGTAATTTTGAGGAACTCGGGAAATACTAACATTTAAAAATATTTTCTTTTTATACAATTTCTTTGGGATTGAAGATTATAAAAAATAGATAGATGTCTCACTGCCTTTAATAGTAGTTCATTGATTTCAGTGTTTATTGTTATTCAGAAAAATAGAGGAACAAATATGAAAATAGTTTTAACTTGGCATTAAAACATTTTTTGTTTAAACACTTTTATGTTTCTAATTTATTTGTCTTTAGACTTAGAAATATTTAAATTAATTTGCCTGCCCTAAGCATATTCTTACTAATAGGATAAAGGTAAGATAGATGACAGATTCTAAATATGCTGCTGGGTTTGCAAGTGAGACCCTCTGGGATTTGCTAAAGACTACAAATAAGCAATTTATTCCCAATTATTTTTGAGTATGGTACTCTATTGTTGTGTAATGCTGCTTAAACACTGCATTTGGTATAGGATTCAAATCAGAATGAACTTAAATATTTTTGTAACTTTTTTCCTTATGAAAATACAGTTATTATAGAAAATATAAATAAGTCTAATAGAAAATAGCAAAATTGAATGTTATGTACATACTGTTGAAACCTGCTTTTTCAGTGAACTAAAGTTAATTTAGTTTTGAGAATTTTGTTGTATTGTCTGAGATATAGCATAAGACCCTGAAGAATTGAGGAAAATTGAAAGAATTTCTAGTTTTACTATCCTGTTAATAGAACATAGAGCTTCTGATTATTATCATCTACTTTGTTATCTAGCAGTTAGCATGGGTTCTTTACAGAGATAATATACAGTATATTTATAGTGATAAAGTGGACATTTGTATAATATCCTGGTATGTCCTCTGAAGTATACCTTTTTTTTTTTTTTTTTTTTTTAAAGAAATGTAGTGCTGTTTTGTTGCCCAGCCTGGACTTGAACTCCTGGGTTTAATTAAGGTATCCTCCCTCCTTAGCCTCCTAAGTAGCTAGGACTACAGATGTGTTCTACCATGCCCAGCTCTGAAGTATAGTTTTAAAAAAACCCATTTAATATAGTTTTTAGTATGAAGTGAACTTACTCTATTTCTTTGAAAATTATGGTAAATGTTAGAAGAAATATTTTAGTACATAAACTTCTTATTTTTACCATATTGGATATTTGAATTTTGTGCTTTTCTTTTTTTTTAATGCTTTTCTTTACAAAGAAAATTTTCAGTTGAAAATCATTCTTTTGATTATAAACTTTTTGAGACATCTTTCTAGCACAAGAATAGCAAGAAAGACAACTTAGAAAATACTTTTTGAAAGGATAATGTGAAATCTGAACTTGTAGAGTGATGAATACAATTCATTCACATTGAAAAATTAGCGGATTAGGAGTAAACTGAATCACTATAGAGCAACTATATAATTCTTAACTGATATGTTGATCTGCATGAGGTGTTTGTATTTTTAATTTGTTAACATTTCTCTTTTGCTGTATTAATCTGCATGAGGCATGTCTATTATTTAAAATTTCTTAACATTTCCTTTTGTTTGCTATTTTAGGCAAGTTGCTTTGGCAGATATAATTCTCATCAATAAAACAGACTTGGTTCCGGAAGAAGATGTAAAGAAGCTAAGAACAACAATTAGGTACAAAATGATAAGTGTGTTAAGTGCCTACAGATCCATATTGTACGACTCAGAATATTTTTTTTTTTTTTTTTTTTTGAGACGGAGTTTCGCACTTGTTACCCAGGCTGGAGTGCAATGGCGCGATCTCGGCTCACTGCAACCTCCGCCTCCTGGGTTCAGACAATTCTCCTGCCTCAGCTTCCTGAGTAGCTGGGATTACAGGCACGCGCCACCATGCCCAGCTGATTTTCTGTATTTTTAGTAGAGACGGGGTTTCACCATGTTGACCAGAATGGTCTCGATCTGTTGACCTCGTGATCCACCTGCCTCGGCCTCCCAAAGTGCTGGGATTACAGGCATGAGCCACCACGCCCGGCCCAACTCAGAATATTTTTTACCAAGACAGTTGCCCTATAGAAACTTAAGGTTTAAGGTTGACCTGCTTCAAGAACCATTAGGGAATCACATATGTTATTGTTGGCTAATTGACTGTTATATAAATAGCAGTACATAAAATTAGTCCCCAGAGCTGGCAGAATATATTTCACAGTTAATATACTGATTTTCAGGGTCCTCTCACTCCATCCTTTTCCTGTCTTCTCTTTGACTCTTTCCTAATGTCAGTCTTCCCTAACTCTACCCAGGATGGTTAATTCCCTTTCCCATGGATGCATCCTGCCAGTTCCTGTCTTTACTCATAATACATTCTCACTCTGCCAATCCCTGAAATCTTTCTTGTTTTGTTTTTTTGTTTCTTTTAAAAAACAATTTATTCTATGGAGCCTATTCTATCTCTGTCTCCCCCACTCCTATGTGAAGTCTTTCCCGACTCAGTGGATCTCACTTCCCTGAACTCTCATTGACGTCATCTTCCTTAACTGGAAACCACACCTTGTCTTTCAGCTTGCTTTAATATCTTCTTTGTCCATAGCCAAGGCTGATCAGCATAGGACAATCGGAATAATATGAATGATGCTCAAATAGATGTTAACAGTCATTTTGCTGACTGTTCTGGAGACTCCCATTCCTTTTGAAAACAAAGATGGATTTTTCAAATGAATTTATAGTTCAGAGACTTTTTGAATTATTTTGTAAGACCTGAACTAATAAAAGCCCTATACGGAGAGACATTTGGTAACTATTATTATTGGTTATCTTTAATGTATACAATGTTTTGAGCATGATGACTCAAAATTACTATTCTTAGTATTTATAAGTTCTGACATCAAAGTTTAAATCTGTCATCTGAGTTCATATAGTATATATTATAAATTGAATCAATAAAGGTAAGTCTTATTAGGAGATTATTTGTAATGATTAATGATTATAGAACCTAAAGTGCAACAAAAAAAATATAATAAACATAACGAAATACTTAAAAATAAATAAATGAAAGATGGATTAGCAATAAAGAAAGAAATTCATATTTTTTCCACATAGTCTTATTTTAATAGCAATTGTCCTTAAACTTTATTATTAAAAAATGTATAATGTCTCCATGTGGAGGGTAGGTATTGTTGCATAGTGTTGAAGACCACGGACCTTGGAATTTGCTTGGGTTCTAATCCTTGGTCTGTTTCTCATTGTGTTCTTAGGGAACCTGTTTACCCTTTTAAAGCCTCCTCTGTAAAAGGAATAATGCTTATCTCATAAGTCTGCTTTCAGTATTACATAAGACTATGTTAGTAAACTTTGCACAGTGCTGACACATAGTAAGTGCTCTGTTAGCTATTATTATGTAGGTTTTTTTCTTAGCTTGCATAGTGAGTTCAAGGTATAGTAAATAAAAAAGGGAAAAAAAAGATGGATGATAGTTTTGAAAACTGATGAAATTTTGAAAAAACTGATTTTGGAAAGGTGAAAGTGATGAAGATTGCCTTTATATTTTTTGACACTGGTCTTCTAATCTTGTTTCTCTTTTCAAAAATCTTCTGCACCATTGTGATTGCTAAGAACCCAGTCTACTTAGCAAATGTTTTTGGCATAAAAGGAATGATGATTATTACTTGGCTTTTATATCCTTATATAGACTAGCTAAATCTCTGACACTGACAATAACAGTACTAGAAATGAATTTGGAAGAAGCAGTTTAATAAATTACATACTCGTTTGACTTTTACTTGTACTCCCTTTATATCAGACTTGTGACTGACTCTGAATCATATTTGAGGAGTTGAAAAAAGGCAAACATATTTGAGAGGAAATAGCTATCAGTCTATAAAGTATATTCAAAAAAGAAGATTAAGAGTTTTGTAAAATAGTGAAGAGACTTGCTCAGAATCTTTATATTTGGGAAACCTCAATCATGAGAACAAACTTGAAGAAGTAGCAAGTATCTTGAACAAGTAACAAGTAACCCTAAAGACAATGAATTGATGATAGAGAATTGATGATTGATAATAGACAATGGAAAAGATAAATAGATGAGGTGTACAGTATGCTGAAAAAATTTTAACAGGTACATTTTGGTGCCATACAAAAAGAGCCATATTCTATAATATCGAAAGAGGGAGAACAGGCATAAGGAGTAGAGAGCCTAGTTAGGGAACTGAAGAGGTTATTCTATAAAGGAAACTGGGATGTGTGACTTAGAATTACTGTGAATACCAAGGGCAGGCTGGGGGCAAAGCTACTTATAACTAGTTTTTTATTTTTAGTGTATATGTAGCCATTTCTACCAGGTATGCCTGAGGAAGAAAGTGGCCACCATGAAAATTTTGAGTGTCTACTAATTTTTAACAACTCTAAAATAGCTACTTATGAATGATTTTTTTTCTAAAGTGAAGCATCTTCTTATTAATCACAAAGTAGCCCTTAATTGGGCAGTTGTGCAGATTTTTGCATATATGTTTTCTTGATGGGCGAGTGGAATACACATGATTTATGGTTTAAATGAAAATAATAAATTATTTTTTTAAGTAAGTTTTGTTTTTCTGTTTTTAATTTTTTTCTGTTTGCAGATGTATTTGTGTATGTATGCTTATTTCCTGTTTTAGAAATAATGTACTTTGTATACTTTTTTAAAAAGTTAATTTTTACTTTTAAACTTTGTCTTCCTCATTTATTATTTATTTCAGATCCATAAATGGACTAGGACAAATCTTAGAAACACAAAGATCAAGGTACTTTTTCAAAGCTATTTCTAATATTATACTAACAACAAATAATTTTAGTTATTATTAATAAACATTAAGTAATTGATAAATATGCTTGATTTTAATATAAGAAAGACGTCAGTGTATTTTAAAAAGAATTGGATCCAGAATGTTGTTTCAAATGATCTCAATAAGTTAATTCGGCATATTTAGCTAGTACATTTGCCTGTCTTTAAGATTACAAAGCCATGATAACACTGTCTTACTGTGTTTTTGCTTAATGAGGAAGAAAAGACTTTCAAACACTTGAGAGGGTAACTCAGTACAGAAATCTGAAAAAGTATATTGAGAAATCTTATCTTAATTCGAAGTATTTAAACGGCTTTAAAAATTTTTTAAAACCTTTCATAGTTGCCAAAAAATGTCATGTAAAAACACAGAGTCTTTACCTTGAAGTTCCTGACAAATTTTTTAATTAAATTTTGATACCCATTTTCTCTAGGTTCTGTTCCTAAAACATCTGTGAAGTGTATTTCTGTAGATTAAACTCTGTTTTCCATTGAGTGCTATCATTTCAGAAAATTTCTGTGCAGGGTATTTTGTTACGCTCTTTTTTTTTTTTGATGAGAAAGGCTCAGCAGCTGATAGACCCAGCAACAGGCAGCCAGGAGCTCTGAGGCTCACAACTGGCAGTCTAGTGCCACCCAGTTCCTACTTGAGAGACTCTTTCTTTGGAAGTACAGCAGAGGCCTTAGTTGAGTGGTTTGTCTGCTATGGCAGAGATTAGAGGTGCTGACAGACTGCCATAAGTGTTAGGCAATAACAGCAGCAGCTGCTTATATGCAAGCGAACAGCTGGGGAATTAATTTGGTATGCATTCTCATGAGCCACTCATCTATCTGCTGGCAGAGGTAGCAGAAGAATGCCCTTAGTGTAAGTCCTCTACAACCATATGCCAAAGGTGCTCCCTGCATTTCAAATTCCATTGTAGAAAGTCTCTGATAATCTCACTCACACCATGAACAGACATTCCTCAGTGTCTGTCCTCTTCCTGTTAGTGTTTTACAGTTCCTTACTCCTTAACTCTTCTCATCTTTACAAAATGATACACAGACAACTGCATAATACTTAAACAAGCTTTTAAAAATCATGCCCATAAATAGCTGTGGTTCTGTCACAGCATTTATTCAGTTCATATTTGTAACATTTTAATTCAGTTTTGTTCTTTTGTTTTCATTTCGGAAATATCCATGTCCTGAATAAAGGTGTCATCTTGATTAGTTTGTTAATGTAACAATATAGTTTGTTTGACATTTCTAACTTTTATTAATTTATTTTTGTTGTTTGTTTTTTGAGACCGAGTCTTGCTCTGTCACCAGGCTGGAGTGCGGTGGCGTGATCTCGGCTCACTGCCACCTCCGCCTCCCGGGTTCAAGCCATCCTTCTGCCTCAGCCTCCTGAGTAGCTGGATCTATAGGCGCGCACCACCATGCCCAGCTAATTTTTTTGTATTTTTAGTAGAGATGGGGTTTCACCATGTTGGCCAGGGTGGTCTCAATCTCTTGACCCCATGATCCGCCAGCCTTGGCCTCCTAGAGTGCTGGGCTTACAGGTATGAGCCACCATGCCCGGCCTCCAACTTTTATTTCTAACATTTGCTTTATTATAGAACCATAAACATGCAGTGATTGATTTTTGTTCTTTCAAGTGGATGAGTGAGCAAGTGACTAAAATCTTTCTTCTTCTATTTCTTCAGTGTATGGTGCTTGCCAATGCATCTGAGAATCTAGGGACTTTCTGAAATAGTACTTCCTTGTTGTGAGGACTGAAGTTGGATTAGAATCCTTTTCAATGAAGATCAGGTGTCCTGAGTAGAATTCTTACTATTGGGTCCTGAATCTTATATTAAATATTCTCTCAAATTCCTTGAGGCATAGCATCTTGAGCTTACCAGTTTAGAAACTGGAGATTTGGTTAACAAAGTAATAAAAGTCACTCTTTTCTGTCAATTAATTTGCCAAACTGGCTGCTATGGATTTCATAGTATTTTAAGGACTATTTAAACAATGGATAAGGCAAAAACCCTGCCTTTAAGGAAAGGCAGGGAAAACAGAGAAGCAAACAAGCAAAAAGGCAACATGTTAGATATTAATATTCCTGTAAGAATTTTGAAAGCACAGAGTTCTATAAGAATAGGAAAATAGAGGAATAACTGTTCAACTTTTCTTGATGAAGAGGGAGGAAAATACTGACCAAGAAGGCAGTCATTGATCTGAGTCTTAAAGAATAAATAAGGCTTTTACAGATGGACTAGAGTAGGAACAACTTCCTAGGTGTAAGGGAGATTTTGTATTCCAGAGACCTGTGAATATTTTAGAATGGCTAGAAAACTTGGTATTATATAGCAGAGAAAAAGTGATATGACTGAAGAGATAGAGAACTTACCACAAAGGGTATTGAATGCCATGATACATAGCTTAGATTTTCTTCTGTAGGCGGCAAGGAATTAGTGGAGGATTTTATTATTAATCATATATTATTAATTAATAATAATAAGTTCACAATAATAAACTTACTATTGACCAACTCTGTTTTGGTTTTCCTCTATTCAGTCTACTTACATTTCTAAAAATTAAGAAAAAGACTAGAGAAGATTAAAATGGTACATCTTTTAATCTTTTACTCCTACTTCTGAAATCTATATGGTTCACTAGAACTTCCATTTGCTACTAAATCAGCTTGTCTTACCAATAAGGCAATGCTACGCACTATTCCTTTTCCTTAATCACTACTCAAGGTGAGCCTCTTTTGTTCACACACTTATAGTAGTTTATTGTCAGCACTTGTCAGCCACACAGTGGTAAAATAATTAAAATTATTTTAAAAACCATAAAACAAAATTCTTCACTCATTTAAGGCATATGACTGGAAAACTAATTTCCATGGCAATTTAATTTCCTCCTTTGGAGATAAAACCATCAGAAATCTACAATTTGCATTATAGTTACTGGATATTTGTATTGGCTGGTGCACCCTATTTGTGAGACTCACTGGAGTTTGAAGAGTTGACTACTAGAAAATACCCCTAGAGTAGCAGCTGCAATTCCAGTCCCATCTTGGAGAGCCAAAACCCTCTTTGTTTTCACTCTCCTGTCCTTGATCTTAGGCTACTTAAAGCAGTCTTTAGCCTTAGGGAAAATTGAAAGCAATTTTTGTAGGAAAACATTAGTTCAAGAAATTAGGAGAAAAAAACACTTTTGAAGCTTAATCTTTCCCCTTTTTGTTTACTTCATTCTCTTACTCCTTTTTAAAATGCTGGTAATGGTCTCTTTTTTTTTCTTGGCTATTTTAATGCTTTGGAAATGATCTAATGGTTTTATCTCCAAAGGAGGAAATTAATTTGATGCCATGGAAATTAGTTTTCCATTCATATGTCCTCAATGAAGACTTTCTTTTTCATGATGGTACTAAATTTGGGGAAAGCTATGGAAACTTTCATCTGGAAGCTTAGACTTTTTCTCTTTATTGAAAATTTGGTGAGAGACTTGGATATTTTGTTATTTTCTGTAAAAGAGTGTAATTGGCTGTACAGATCTAATATTGATTCTTTTTTAGAAATACAGAAAGAATCTGGATAAACAGCAGAATTACCTCTGGATGACATGTTTTCTCAAGGACACTGTCACAGTGAAACAGTAGTTTATTTATAAGCTTGTGTTTCCAAACTACATTTGATATTTGCAAAATTGGCATGTGTAAACTTTATTAACCTTTAAGCTGTTTCCTAAGATGCAGATGACAAACTTGGGGGGGAAACTTCATTGTTTTTTTTGTTTTTTGTTTTTTTTTTTCTTTTTTGAGACAGAATCTGACTTTGTCCCCGAGCTGGATTGCTGTGGTATGATCTCAGGTCACTGTAACCTCTGCCTTCTGGGTTCAAGTATTTCTCCTGCTTCAGCCTCCCAGTAGTTGGGATTACAGGTGTGTGCCACCACGCCCAGCTAATTTTTGTATTTTTAGTAGAGATGAGGTTTTGCCGTGTTGGCCAGGCTGGTCTGAAACTCCTGGCCTCAAAGTGATCTGGCCACCTTGGCCTCCAAAGTGCTGGGATTTCAGGCAGAAGCCACCATGCCCATCCAACTTCAGTCATTTGTGACCTGTCAATATAAATATGCTCAGTGGTGGTGGGGGTGGGAAGTGAAAAAGGAAATATGTTTAATATTAAGACTTTGGCCTCTTAGTGTAAATTGATATTCAAAAATTTCTTCATGGAACATTTACTTCTTTATTTGATCACTTTTCTAATTCCGCACATATAAAATACCCAGAATTTGAGTTGTTGTTACAGTCTATTAACAGGAACTTTGGAGTAATAAGATGGGCATTTGTATGCCTTTTGCCAAGACAAGCATTCATAATCTAACACATTATTGTTGCCACAAGTATGAGTGTGGTAGACTGTTGAGAATGAATAAAGCAGGCACAGTTGGTCAGTACTAAGATAAAGGAGATGTTTTTTCTTACATGTTATGCATGAAAAAAAAAAATTGAATCTGACCAATGAAATTTTTTTTCCTTGTAAGAAAATTTAACAAATGTTTGGCAAGCTCCTGGAATCTAAGTTTGAAATGTAATTATACATTTGTCATTTTCTTTAAACATTCCTTTGCTTTAGGTTTGATTATGGAGAAATCACTGTCCTCTGCTGTTTTATGGGCTTATGTTAAAATTGTAACGCAATCACCAGTCTTTATAAATTTACTTTTATATATTTAACCAAACCTAATGCTAATTGTGATATGTTATTCTCACTTGATTTGAATCATCGCATTCCTAATAAGTTTAATTATCATTAAGTAATTCTCAGAGAAATAATGTCTATTCGGATGGCAGGAATTTTTTTTCTACATGCAGCCCCATTCTGAATGAATGAAATCAAATCACATGAATATCAGGGTCCTAGGGTAACTTAATATTTTATGCATTGGTTATTCGACTCATATTTTTATATTGCATGTTATATCAAAGAAGGGGAAATAAAAGAAATACAAAAATTGCAGAGGTATTTGGAATATACCCATTTGACTGTTAATTCTATTTGTCATTTCTTTTGTTTCATCTTTGAATAATTAGCTGCTTGGAAAAGTTTCTGTTCTTTAGCTGAATTTTTTTTAAGCTATAAAAATGTATTTTAAAAGCTCATAAATTTCAGGATTGAAAAGATAATGGAAAGTTTAAACAAGCTAATTTATTGACATAATAAATAATTTTCAATCTTGATTCAACTGTGATCATCTTATACCATTTGCCCACTTTTATGAATTTTATATATAAAATTTTTTAAGAGTCAGAGATTTTTTTTCTTGATTAATTAGATATATTTCACAGAATTTCCAACTGCTCACATTAGTTTTCTTTCTTTTAGAGTTGATCTTTCTAATGTGTTAGATCTTCACGCCTTTGATAGTCTCTCTGGAATAAGGTATGTTTTGTATAATTTGGTTATTTTTATTGTTATGTACCCTTTTTTTCCCATAGTTAACAGGAATGATTTGCACAATTGCACCCTTGATTTAAGCTTCCTGCCATTCCTTTGGCATATAAGACCATTCTTAATGAGGTACGTTCTTGGAAGTTTTACTAAGTAAGTATTTGTTTGGAAATCATATTGCATTTTCCTATAGAAATTATAGTGTAAGTGATAGGTAACTTCAGAGTCTAATCGTTAACACTTCTACACCAAACACTATGTATAATACTCTTTCTATGAGAAGATACATGAAATACATAGACAATTTTAGTTTAGGGCTCTCACACAGATAACTCTCTTTACGTTAATAATGGATTAGTTCTCTGCCTTCTCCTATGGGGAATCTTTTTAGTGAGGGAAGGAAGAAAGATTAGTTATTCTTGTGCATCAGTATCTGTTTATTTTTTCATCGTAGTAAGAATATTTAACATGAGATCTATCTTTTTAACATTTTTTTGAGTGTACAATACAGTATTGTTAACTATAGGCCTAAGGATGTGCGGCAGATCTCTGGGACATTTCAGTCTTGTATAACTGAGGCTTTATACCCATTGAATAGCAGCTTTCCATTTCCCTCTCCCCTTCGCCCCTGGGATCTACCATTCTACACTCTTTCTGTGGGATTGACTATTTTATTCTGACACAAGTGGAATCATGCATTATTTGTCTTTCTGTGACTGGCTTATTTCATGTGGCATAACATCATCAAGGTTCATCCATGTTTTTGCATATAACAAGGTTTCCTTTTTAAGGCTCAATAATATTCTGATTTCTACATATACCACATTTACTTTATCCATTTTTCTCTTAGTGCACATAACTTGTTCTTGCAGCTTGGCTATTGCAAATGATGCTGTAATGAATATCTCATAAGTCTCATATATGTCCATACAAGATCATGAGAGTGGACATCTCTTTAGGTATTTTGAATTGGTGGGGCAGTTTTGCTTAAGGGTAGGCATGGTGGGTGGCTCTATACTTGAGACTTCTAATTCTCATTCCTATATATATTTCTTTCTTTCTTTTTTTTTTTTTTTTTTTTTTTTAGATGGGTTCTCACTTGTCAGCCAGGCTGGAGTACAGCAGCACAAACATGGTTTACTGGAACCTTGACCTCCTGGGCTCAACTGATCCTTCTGTCTCAGCCTCCCAAGTAGCTGGGACCACAGGCAGTGTCACCATACCCCACTAATCTTTTAATATTTTTTGTAAGCATGGGGTCTTATTATATTGCCCAGGCTGGTCTCGAATTCCTGGGCTCAAGTGATCCTCCTGCCTCAGCCTCCCAGAGTGCTGGGATTACATGTGTGGGCCACCACACCCAGCCTTATATGTATGTTTCTAATTTGGCCTTAGTCATGCCTTTAAAAACGAATTCTGTTTTCAACTAGGTTTTTTAAACCTTCAGTCTGTAGTATTGTTCACATTATAAAAATCTACCTATAGTAACCTGTGAAGTAGGACATGATAGTGTTTTATTGGATCCCTTTTACTTTATTATGTTTTTTATTTTATTATTTTTTTTGAGACAGAGTCTTGCTCTGTTGCCCAAGCTGGAATGCAGTGGCACAATCTCGGCTCACTGCAACCTCCGCCTCCCAGGTTCAAGCAATTCTCCTGCCTCAGCCTTCCAAGTAGCTGGGATTACAGGCACGTGCCACCATGCCCAGCTAATTTTTTATTTTTTTAATTTTTGTAGGGACAGGCCCGGCCACCCTTTTACTTTAGAGGTTGGAAAACTTATATTCGAGTGTAGTTGTAAAAAAAAAAAAAAAAAAGACCAGGCGTGGTGGCTTATGCCTGTAATCCAGGCACTTTGGGAAGCTGAGGTGGGTGGATTACAAGGCCAGGAGATCAAGACCATCTGGCCAACATGGTGAAATGCCATCTCTACTAAAAATACAAAAATTAGCTGGATATGGTGGTGTATTCCTGTAATCCCAGCTACTCAGGAGGCTGAAGCAGGAGAATGGATTTAACCCCGGAGGCAGAGGTTGCAGTTAACTGAGAGATAGTGCCACTGCACTCCAGCCTGGTGACAGGGTGAGACTCCATCTCAAAAAAAAAAAATTGATTGAGATTATTTCAGCAACCAGAAGTGTGGGTTAGTCAGGGCAGTTATTTCCTCCTTCTTAGTTTGGAAACTGAAGCTCAGAGAGTAAACTTGTCAGTGACAGTGAATCAAGAAGTTGTCTTCAGTTGAGAGGTATTTATTTCACCTGTAGCTTCTGGTGTTAGAGCAGTATCTTTTTAGACTAGACAAATTATAGTGAAAATTATAAAGGTATTTTCAGGCTACCTCGAAAAAAATCAGCATTTTGTTTTTCTAGGTCCAGTTATTAGGAAGGCAGTAAAGTTTGGTATACCTGAATTACATGTGAGTGATTTCTATTTTTCTAAAAATTCTTATAAATTATGTAAGGTAAAAATGACTACTTGTTGTTTTACGGTAAATATAGTTATATCCTTTCAAGCCACTCCTGGACAAAGTTGTGAAATCTCCCTGAGCCTTTTTCCTTTATGTCAGCTTCAGGTATCCAGTATCACTTACACTTGAGAATGATTATATGGAAATCATTCAGAATTATACTAAGTTTTTCCATGTGAAGCTTTTGTTTTACTAATTTTTAAACTACTCCTCCTCCATTAAACTAATATAGCCCTAACCATAAATTTGGTTTGCTCATTTAAAAATGGTCTTTTTTTTCTTCTTAGTTCTGGTTTTACTGGGGAGATAGATTGACTGGGGCTGTCACCTAATTCTGGGAGCTTTAAGAGCCTTTGTCCTTTGCTACCCATTTCTGAAATAATCAAGTCTAGCCCATCCTAACTTTTCTCTTAATGATCCTTATTTTCTTTTACTCCAAGTCTCCAGCACTTCATTTGAGTATCAGTCCTATTTCACTAGTTAGCCATGCTCCCTTTCTCTCATCTTCCATGTCTGGATTATAACTATGTTTTTTTTATTTGATGCTGTGACGGTTTTGATAGTCACAGATCCTGTGATACATTTAAATATGTTTACAAGGAGAAAAACGAAAGAATACTGCATGAAATTTGCCTTTCTTCCTTTCTTTGTTTTTTTATGGAAGACAGGGTCTGTCTCTGTTGCCCAGACTAGAGTGCAATGGTGTGATCTCAGTGCACTGTAGTCTCTGCCTCCTGGGCTTAAGCCATCTTCCTACCTCAGACTCCTGAGTAGCTGGGACTACAGGCACGCACTACCATACCTGGCTAATTTTTTGTTGCCTGGCTAATTTTTTCTTTTGGTAGCGATGGGGTTTTGCCATGTACCCCAGGCTGGTCTTAAATTCCTGTGCTCAAGTGATCTGCCCACCTCAGCATCCCAAAGTAATGCGATTACAGGCGTGAGCTACCACACTTGGCCCTTTATTTTTTTATATTTATTTAATTATTTTATTTTGTTGACGTAGAGTCTCAGAGTCTCACTCTGACAGCTGGGTTGGAGTGCAGTAGTGCTATCTCTGCAGTCCTGAACTCCTGGACTCAAGTGATCTTCCCATCTCAGACTCCTGACTAGCTGGGACTACAGGGTTGCACCACCATGCCTGGCTAATTTTTTATATTTTTTTTGTGGAGACAAGGTCTTGCTATGCTCAGGCTCGTCTTGAACTCCTGGCCTCAAGTGATCCTTCTACTTCGCCTCTCAAAGTGCTGGAATTACAAGCCTGAGCCACTGAACCCAGCAAAATTTGCCTTTTTAAAACTAATTCATCTCTGTTGGGTCCAAAAGCTTGCAAGTTGGTTGTCATTTAATATGTTAAACACTAAAATATTTTTTAGTTGAAATCTTTATTTTTTCCCTTCACATATTGTATCCTTTAGTGCTTTATTCCAATAATAAGAATTATAGTATCAAATCATTTCCCACCTTGATATTCAGTATATCAATTTTTGTTTTCCTTTCTACTTCTGTCTTTTGCTGTAATTTGCTGTAATACAAGTACTTTCATCAAGGCATCCAGTTTTTTATATCATTCTATATTTTTACTTGGGAGAAATAGGAATGTTGCTAGTTCTATCTTACTGTCAATACCTAAATTACTGTTTTTTATAGAACATAATGGTTTATACACAAAATACACTAAACTGTGTGAGATTTTTACACTTTATGCTTGCAGAGACAAAAATTGTTATAAGATTACAACTTAATGTGCAAAATGAGGATTTCAGATTCATGAGTTTCAGGTTTTGGTAGCATATGCTTATCCACTAGATTAGTCTTTTAAAAATTTGTATAGGCCAAGGCGGGTGGATCACGAGGTCGATTGATCAAGACCATCCACATGGTGAAACCCCATCTCTACTAAAAATACAAAAAATTAGCTGAGCATGGTTGCATGTACCTGTAATCCCAGCTACTCAGGAGGCTGAGGCAGGAGAATTGCCTGAACCCAGGAGGTGAAGGTTGCAGTGAGCCGAGATTGCGCCATTGCACTCCAGCCTGGGTAACAAGAGCGAAACTCGGTCTCAAAAAAAAAAAAAATTTATATGATAGGGAAAAAAATCTAGGACATGAATCCTGAGACTTACTAGGAACTAAACTTAAATGTTCGTTGTTAGATTTTTGTTTTTTTGCTGCATGTGAAGTTTTAGGCAGTCATTGTCCAACAACGTATGGTAAAAGCATGATTTTTCAAAATTATTTTCTAAAGTAATCTCATTCTACACTTAAGAGCAGTTATAATGCTTTGGTGACACTCGAAGTAGCTGTTTAATGTGATCTCACCATCATGGAGAAGGGCTTTGCATGACTTTTTGTGTGTGTGCTTAGCTGCTAACCAAGAGAATCTTTTCCTGAGCAACCAGCTGGGAAGGATTTAATTTGACATTCTCCCTGCTGAGACCCCCCCAAAGAGACTCGTTCCCTCCAACAGTTCCTACAGGCTCTTTCTCTTTCCTAAACTTGCTGTTACTAATTTACCCCTCACTGTTCTTCAAGGCAAAATGTCTGCAGGGTTTTAAGTGCTTTCCCCCTCCCATCCTGTCCTCATCAGTGTTGAAATGTGCTACAGTTGTTATGGTTGTAATTTGTTATGCCATATTGATCTTGTGCTTTTCATCAGAACAATGCATTTTTAACATTCTGATTTTTTCTCCCAATTGATAACTGACTATATATAAAATTTATATTTATGGATACTATTTGTTTTTTAATAAGTTCAAGGAAAAACATTGATAAAGGAAAATTTAATTCTTCTAACTTTCTTTAGGTGCCAGCATTATTTTCACATTAGGAAGCAGGAAAAAATTAAGGAACTTTGAGCAATACTAGAATGGTTATATATATATATGTATAGAAGATTGTATTAAACCTGATGGAATGGTAAAGAAATTTATTGACATATTTAACCAAACAAAATAGTGTTGTTAAAAGATTAGTTTTTCTTTTTATTGTGTGCATATGTATGTATGTGAATGTGGGTTTTTTTCTTTTAAAGAAATTTTGTAAAAACTTTATTTGCCAGCTTTTCTCTGTTGGAATTTGTGAACATTGTGTAAAATTGGAATTATAGAATAGTTATGGAAAGACCCTTCATTATCCTTGTGTCACTAAATAACGTATAAAGTTAAGTCAGAAGTGTATTGATCTCTGAATTTCTAATCAGTTGTTTTTAGTTTGCAGAAAAAACTTCAGCATATGCCAGGAACACAACCTCACCTTGATCAGGTAAAAAAAAAAAAAAAAAATCCAAATCCAAAATTCCTAAAGAATGTTTTTAAAGGACCTCTTTAACTAAACTGGTTATATTTAGGCCTGCTTTATTATAAACTTTTTCTAAAATGGTATTTTTGAACCGTGTTGATAATTTTTGGATTATTTGCTTTTGATATTGTCTAATCCTACTTCTTAACACATGATAGGAATTTATCAAACCAGATTTGTTTAGAATCTGAGGAAATCATGCTTTCTAGCCTTTCCATTCTATAGATTAATTAGCATATTGATTAGTTCTGATAGAGATTACTCTTAAAAGCAGCCTGGGCATTCTATAGGTAGTCTATTTTTAAGTATGTTGAATTGATTAAGGAAAAGTCTGATATAAGCATGGCTTATTTAAGTAAAAACTGAATTTCACCTTCAGGTAGCACTATAAATGTGAATTCCTTAAGATAATTTTCTTGCTCTAAAATTCTAATCCCTCAGGTAAATATCTAAGATGCAACGAACAAATTAAATACACTTTTACTGTGTCTGCATTTCTGTTAAGCATATCATAGATCATAGAGCTTTAGGATAACTTCTTTGTTCCACTTAAAACCCTGAGGGGTGGAGTGGGGGATGTGTAAGTGACCAGTGTGCCCAGTCTTCCCTCATCAGTCTTGAAGTGATCACTCAGCTTTTGAATTACTATTGGTTGTAATACTGCCAGGATAACAGCAGCTACTTACATTTGTATTCATTTTGGTTCATAATTTATGAGCAGGTTTACTACTACATTTGTGGTACCTTACCCTGTGAAACTTTTGTTAATAAGATATTTCCTCTTCACTCATCTTTAAAATAAATAAATGAGAGACATACAAGTCCTTGGAAATAGTTTATGGTAAAAAAACAGTTCTTTATGATAGTTGATATCTGTCATAAAGATGAATGTGAAGCACATTGAGCTTCTGGGTGAAGAATATGATGCCAAAAATCACAGGGATTAAAAGATGAAGAAAATACAGTACTCACTTACAGTGAACATTTGTAGTGGCCAGTGTCTATACCCATAGAATCTTGAATGAACCCCTATTGTGGCAGTCATGAGGCCTTGCAGTTTGGTTGAATTGCTTTTGCCTTGCATTAGTCTATAAATTCCTTAAATATAAAATCTTTATAGCTTAGTACAGGGCTTGGTGGATGCTCAGTGAATATTTGTTAAAAGAATGAAAAGCTGTGTTTCTCAAATGGGGTATAAGTCAGAATCCTATGTGGAGATTTAAAAAAAAAAAAAAATTAGATAATTCAGTAGTTCTCACCCCTCAATCTCCAGAATTGGGGCCTGGGTATGTGTATATTAATGTATATTTTTAACATTTTATTGTGCAAGATTTCAAATATATAAAAAAGTAAACAGAATAGTAAGGTAAACACCTTGTATGAATCACCCAGTTTAAATGGCATCAACATTTAGCTAATTTTATTTCACCTATACTCCCATTTCTTTTGCCTGGAGTATTTAAAAGAAAATGTGGTTTTTTTTTCTTCTTTTTTTTTTTTAATTTTTATTTTTTATAGAGATGGGGGTTTCACCATGTTGGCCAGGCTGGTCTTGAACTCCTGACCTTGTGATCTGCCCACCTTGGTCTCCCAAAGTTCTTGGATTACAGGTGTGAGCCACTGTGCCTGGCCAAAAAAAAAGTTTTTTTAATAGGAAATTTCAAACATGCATAAAAGTAGAATAGTATAATGAATCTGTATGTACCTGTTGCTCTTGTTGGAGTGTATTAAAGCAAATTCCAGACATTATGTCATTTTACTACTAAATAGGGCATGGCTATATTTTTGTAGCCTCTATAGGAAATTCTTGTGCACTTTCCTGCTTTAGATAATATAAACATAGGAAAAATAGTTTTAGGGCTATGGGATTCAGAGGCATGAACTCTTTTGGTTCAGTGGATCAGAGGTGTAGGAGGAAATTTATCTTTTCCTTGCCCATCACTAGATTCATGGCTGAGGTCTCTCTAACAGAAGACCAACTAACAAGAGAATAACATACAAATTTGTTTAGTAAGCTTTACTTGACACAGGAGCCTTCGTAAGGAAAGGAAGACCTGAAACAGTGTATGTTTGATGCTAGGTATGATACGGAAAAGGATAGTCATGGAGAAGCATAACTGGACAAAACAGTATGATCTAATAGTAATAAACTGGGAAGAACTTAGCAAGGTCTGTTTGCTCAGATTTTTCTCTGTGATGCTTCATATTCAGAGATAAGGATGTCCTTTTCCTCAGTGTATGGAGAGGGCACCTCTTGAATGAGGGTCTTATGACCCTCAGGGGAAGGTCAGAAAAATCTAGGTTTTATGACCTGCTTCAGTAGGAAAGGTGAGAGCAGCCTTCCTGGTTCTGCCATTTTCTCAAATACTGAGGTGCCATATTTTGGGATAGTACGTCTTGAACCCAATCAAAGGCTTCATGAAAGATAGTTTTTTTGTTTGATTTTGCATACAGTAAAGCATGCAAATGTATGATTTTAGTGTACAATTCAATTTTTTTTCTTTTTGTCTCTCTCTGTTGCCCAGGCTGGAGTGCAGTGGTTCGATCTCGGCTCACTGTGACTGCCTCCTTCTGCATTCAAGCAATTCTCATGCCTCAGCCTCTTGAGTAACTGGGATTGCAGGCATGCACCACTACACCTGGCTAATTTTTGTAGATAGATATTTTTTAAGTAGAGATGGGTTTTCACCATTTTGGCCAGGCTGGTCTCAAACGCCTGACCTCAGATGATCCACCCACTTCGGCCTCCCAAAGTGCTGGGATTACAGGTGTGAGCCACTGTGCCCTGCCTCAATGTATTTTTACATATATTTATACCTACATATCTGTCTGTATGCACATTCAAACACATATCCTTCTAACACCCCACTCAGATCAAGATATAAAAGATATCTAAAATTGTTAAGAGTTCTCTTTTGCCCCTTCCCAGTCAAAGAAGGGGTAAGTGCTATTCTGACTTACATGACAAAAAATAGCCTTGAACTGGTAGGCTTTTATTTTGACAAGAAGAAGTAAGGAAAAGAGCAAGATGGATGTTTAAAAATGTGAAGTGAGAATCTTACCAATGAGTAGGTCTCTGGTACGGAAGTCTTAGTGGAGAGTTCATACTAGAATCCTGGTCCAAGCTATCAGGTTTTAATTTGCTAGACAAAGAAAACTCAAGCTGTGCTATCTAGGAGTGTTATGTAAGCTAGACTGGACTTCAGAGTCGGGAACCAAGCAGGAAGATACTGTGTGATGAGGGCCTGAAACATGCTGGTTACAGTGAGACTAGAAATGCGATAAACCCAGAGCTGTTTCACAGATAGACTTGCCTGAATATCCTGTCTGATGGAGGATGGATCAGAAAGAAAAGAAGTGGTGATGGGAAACAAGCCTAGATTGACTAGAGAAACCTAGAAATAGAAAAATCGGGAAGGCAAAGTGATTCAGATGATAATGCCATATATTCAGTTGTCCCTGGTGGCAGAATATTATAGTACAGATATTATATAGGCAAAGAAGAACAGAGGACTAGAGTGTGAAGGAACAGATTTTGAGTTTAAGCATATTAGTGGGCTTAGTGTTCCAGCTGAAGAAAATGTGAAGAGGTTATTGCATGTTAGGTATTGTTTGGGAAAGAATAGAAAACAGAGAAACCAGTGGGTTAAAGAAGAAACAGATTAAATAAACAAACCCAAGTAAGCTGTTACTAAATTTTATTTTAGAGACAATTCCTCATTGTACTTTTAGTTTTCTGAATTATTGCCTCACTTTTCTGTTTCTTTCTGTGTCAGCATACATGGAAAAAGGAGTTAATTTTAGATTCAAAACAAAAACTGGAGAAAAAAAGTCTGAAATGGGTAATACCTAGGACATGGTATATATGTGTCATTAGGAATCTATCCCTGATTTTTTAATGCAGTTATCCATTTTTCATGAATTCTTTGTTTATTCCCTATAAGGAATACCTGGGTTTGGAAAGTGGGAAGGTGGATGAGAAAACCCAAGTGACAAATAGTGCTTAGTTTATTTTAGAACCAAGTATGAGTTGTGACCCTTATCTTCTGCACTGGGAATTACAGATTTTTTTCCAGGATTTTTCTAACAATGTACATACATTTAACAATACTTTTGTCTCCCTCTAGCCCCTGGTAACCACCATTTTACTTTCTGATTTGAGGAGTTTGACTATTTTAGATACCTGATATAAGTAGATTCATGCAGTATTTGTCCTTCTGTAACTGGTTTATTTTTCTTAGTGTAATGTCCTCAAGATTCATCCATGTTGTAGCATATGACAGTATTTTTTTAAGGATACATTATATTTGGTTGTATGCATATTGCCACATTTATCCATTCAACTGTCCTGAACATTTAGGTGGTTGTTAGTGTCTTGATTATTGTGACAAAATAAGTACTTTTAAAAGTCTCACATTTGCAAGTTCAATTTGACCCTTTTTTTAGTTGACTTAAACGTCTCATGTCAAGCAAGAAAGCACTTTTCTGGTTTTCCTATTACTAGGAACAGTAGAGATTAAATGTCTCATATGTTTTTGGGAGTTCTAGAGCCCCACACATCACCTGTTCCTTCCCATACTACCGTAACTGATGCTCTCTGGAGAGTGCCCCTCCTGGCAGGAGGCCAACCAGCACAAAAATAGTGCATTAAACCAGCAAAGCTAAGACCCCTCATAGAGTCCATTTCACCCTCCTACCACCGCTACTGGAACAGGTGCTGGTATCCTGGCTGAGAGACCCACAGATAGTTCACATCACATGACTGTGTGCATACTAACCCCCAGTACCAGCCCGGAGCCTGGTAGACTTGCTGGGTGGCTAGATCCAGAAGAGAGATAACAATTACTACGCTTAGCTCTCAGGAAGTCACATTTATAGGAAAAGAGGGAGAGTACTACAGAAAGGGAACACCCCATGGGACAAAAGAATCTGAACAACTGCCTTTAGCCCTAGACCTTTCCTCT